AAATCAGCCGTTGGCTACGCTGCACTGGGTGAAGCTGCTCAGACAGCTTTTAGAGTTGGAAGTCAGGCAGCTCTCCAGATGAAGAGTGAGCCCGGCCCGTGGATAGGCGAGAAAGGTACGCGGGTAGCCACGGCTGCTCTGGGCGCCGCCCTCGTTGACACATTTGTCGGTCACAAGGCCACTGGCATGAAGGGCGGCATGCGCCATCAAGCTTTGCGTCAAGCATGTGAGATGGGTATTCGCAACTTTGTCGTCCAACCTACTGTGAACACGGCAACCCGACGCAGCGGCAGTTGGGGCGGCCATGGCACTGGTGGCGGAGGAGGCCAGAGCAGCAGTGGGAGAAGACGACACTGATCCAGTTGCCTTTGCGACGTGTTGTCCATCCTACATGAGACGCTACTACGTGGTTGGGGATACACAACGTCTACATCTCCCCTCTGCATCTCTTCCTCGACATATCAAATCCTCCTCTTCTCTCTTTTCTATGGCTACAAACTGGGTTTTTGGGGGGCGTTATTAGATAAAGTGCCACCGAGACGGCAGGAAACCTTTTGAAAATTTAGAAGCAGCATAGCATCGTGTTATCGATAGACGAGTAACGAGTCACAATGAATCAAATGACAAGGAAAACCAAGTTACCTCTCTTGGTACATATGCTGATAATTAAGTCTCGATGGTGGCAGGTTTATTCCTATTTGAACAACACCATGGATGCTGCGAAACGCTCACTCCTTATGGATATCTCTTCCCTGCCCTCAATGTATACTAGCATATACATATCCTTTCGGTTTTTATCCTGTAAGCAGATCCTATGATCGTGCTAAAATCCTATGGTAGGATAGAATACTTCACTTAATAAGATTTAAAGCGATGTAGTGTGACAGCTTCGGCGCTCAAAACGACTAATCGCAAAGAAGGCAAAATGCGAAGTGACGAGATGACGTTGCATTCCCGTATGGCGGCCTGCCTCTCTCTTACCTGGACGCAACCACTAGGATATCGGAATAGAGCAAGTGGTGAGATGTGCATTGGTTTTGTGATATTTTGCCACCACGCAGGATTATCATTCCTTAAGTTCAGATTGATAAGATAGATGGTATTAAGTCAAGAACTAGAATACTACATTTCGACTAGTTACTTGAAGCTTTGGCTTGAACAACAAGCAGATCTGCCTTTACGCCAGCTGTAATCAAAACACCTGCAGCCAGACCCAGGCAGTCCTTGATATCTTCAGATACCTTGACAGACGCCTTGCCTTGACTCGCCTTCACAGCGCTCCTGCGACCAAGAACGACCAGGTTGTGCCATGTGACTTCTCGCGTATCTGTCCTGACGCCTGATTCGGCATAGCTCGAAGCGGCCTCCAAGGTATTGGCAGAAGAGGAAGTCTCAAACTTGATGCGTGAGGCCACATTGGCAGGCACGTGTGTTGACACGAAGCCGAAGTAGTCACCCTCCTGAGACTGGGAGTCTCCTTCGGCCGTCCCAGTGAAATGCACCACGGTCGCTTGTGCGTTGTGCCTCTCGCACAGCTGAAGCACAAGCTTGAGGGCAAGCTTGTCATCATTGCCGCCAAAGTATGGCATGAAGATCTGGTGAGACTTGTTGGTGACAGGAATAGTTGGGATATCGTGATGGATGTCGCTGAACGAGTATGCTCGCGAAAGCCTCTTACGATCGCTGCTACCGTCCGAGCTAGGTTGGGTGACACTGCCCTTGGGGAAGAAAATGCCAATGTTGTGTTCCGGGGATTCGAGGATTGACTTGGCGAAACCGGTATATGTTGATCCAAGCTTGTTGGAGCCGTCTGCCGACAGGACTTGTGTGTCGACTAGGCTACCACTTTCGCTCCAGGGAACGAGAAGAAGGTCGGAGGAGATATCGGAAGACTTGGAAAGCAGAGCCTCGGCAAAGCGAGTCTCTGGCATAATAGACACCTCCCCAGAAACAGCAACTCTGATCAATTGTCCCACAGTACGGAAGATGTTCACAACAGGGTCATTGCGACTGAAATCGTCGACCTGAGACACAGTCATGACGGAAGAATCACGATCCGTAAGATGAAGTAGGCGGAAGCCGTGAGCCCGCACAGCTCTGATACCGTTGGAAGAACTCAGAGCCACGGTATCAGACTTGATGCCGTCCTTCTCATCGCTCTCGACAAACTGGTCTCCTGAGCCATACTGCTTTCCAAATAGGGAGACCAAGTTGAGTAGCGCAGGCATGTTATCCAGTCGAAGATATACCAGTAGGCGCTGGACACGATCGTTGGTGGGCTTGGTGAATTCATGGTCGTCGGTCGATCCGCCGTGACTCGAGATGGGTTCACCAGTGTCCCAGTCAATCTCACCACGCTTCCAAGCCTCGAGCTTCTTCTGGTACCAGCGAGGATACAGGAAGGAGGTCAGAGGAGTAGTTGCGAATGTGGTCAGAAGAGCCATGACAACGAAAATGGTGAATGTCCTGGTGCTTAAGATCCTAGCCTGAAGACCAATGTTCTGTGTTTCAATCAGCTTCCGTCTCCATTTCCATGTCGTCTTTGAGCCGTGCTCGAACAAGAGCCACTTACGAGGACGATCAGCTCGACGAGACCTTTGCAACTCATCAGAGCTCCGATAGAGAAAGACTCTCTCCAGACCAATCCGTTCAGCCGAGCAGCGAGACTGGCGCCAATGACCTTGGTCAAAAACGCGGTAAACGTAACGGCGATGACGTATCCCCAGGCGATACCACTGTCAAGGAGACCCAGGTTGGTGTTCAGTCCAGAGAGCGTGAAATACAAGGGCAAGAACAGAGCACCGATCAAATCTTCCAGCTTTTCAGTGACCTTGATAGCAAAGCCGTTCTCGCGGGGCAGGATAAGGCCAACCATGAAGCCTCCGAAGATCGCGTGGACGCCAATGATACCAGTGAAGAAAGCCGAGGTCAGGGCGATCAAAAGGATGAGCGCAATCATACTTTGCGAAGGCCCGTTCTCGATGTTGCCAGTTCGGCGTAACAGCCAGACCAATGCTGGCCTCACAAGGTAGAAGAGGAACAACATGTAACCGACACACGCGAGAAGAATCCAAAGGGCCGAAAGACCCGTTCCGGCGTTGGCGAGAGCAACACATAGGGCAAGGAGGATCCAACCTGTGGCGTATTAGTAAAATCCGCCTTAACGCGTTAACATGCAATGAAGCACTACTCACCAACAACGTCGTTCGCAACACCAGCTGAAAGCACAATAACACCGACAGAGGTATCAAGGAGTTTCAATTCGGTCAGGATACGGCAAAGGACTGGGAAAGCCTGGAAGCAACATGTTAGTTGACTGGTGATCAAACCACGACCGAGTAGGCCATTTCTGCAGGGTATCTTACTGTAATTGCAATAGCAACACCAATGAACAGCATGTAGATTGGGAAATCAATGTGCATGACACCCTCGTCACTAGAGAATTGGTTGTACAGACCCCATGCGAGGGCGCAACCGAACGCAAAGGGTAGAGCCAAGCCGGCGAACGCAACTGAAGTAGCAACCCGCCAATTACTGACGAGGAAGCGAACGTCTGTCTCAAGACCGATGAGGAAGAGATAGAGAACAAGGCCGAGGTTGGCTACCAGCGTCAAGTTGGGGATCGACTCCGTGGGGAAGATGGCAGCGCGAAAGCCGGGAATTCGACCCAGTACCGAGGGTCCCAGGACAATGCCGCCAATAACTTCGGCTATCACTCGAGGTTGCCGGATCTTGGACAAGGGCCAATGGAGGAGGTGACAGACTATGATGATGAGTCCAGCCTAAGTTGTACGAATGGCACTAATTAGCATTTGTTGGCAAGCGCCGAAGGTGGAATTCGAAACAAAGGTAACGAACTTGGATGATGAACATGGTGATGGGGTCCTTCGGGTTGTAATGCGATGGGTTTGCGCCCTCGATAACACCACCCTGCGAGGGAGCTCTGTTTCCACCGGTGCTGGTGGGCGCAGCCGACGATGTGGCTGTCGCCGACAGCATTGATGTGATAGACGACATGTTGGCGGATGGGCTCGATTTCCTGTCCTTTCCGGTAAATATGCTACTCTCCTAGGCACAGGTTAACTATGCGTGTGGAAGCGCTCGACTGCGCTCCCCAAATCGAATCAACTTGACCGTTTATGATAAGACGGGACGGCAGATGATACGGGAGGAGCGCTTCTTATATGGAGGTGCCAAGAAGAGGGACACCGTCCAGGCTGCGAGTACTAGCAATGGATGGAGGCGGAGCAGGCTATTGTGGCCAAGGCAATCGCAATCAGTCCCGTGATATTGGTAGGCTTTGCATGTACTAATCTGACATGGTGAGCCGATTGTTTTGCCTATGTTGTTTTCTCCCTGGCCGCAGCTGCCACGGATATTAGAGGTGTTGGTAGTCGACCACTTTGGTTGGTTGCACGAGAGGGTAGCAGGTGGTGGTGGTGGTGTTGGAGCAAGTTAAGGGTTTTTTGGTCACTTGCCTTCCCGGCGGATTTAGTTCGCGACACGTGAAGATGTTTTGGAGGGGGAGAATGTGGAGGGCGGGGAGGGCGAGTGAGCAACGGTTTGTGGAGGTGGGCAGGGAGAAGTGAGAGACTAAGGGTGCCTCACTGCGTGACTGTGGTAGCTAAGCAGAGTTGTGGTGGAACCTACGGGGTACAAGCATGGCAATTGGGTTGGTTGGTTTACCTTAATATGAAAGGAATGCGAACAAGAACCAGATTGAAGCTAGGCCCAAGGATGTGGGCTGTCACCGTCAGTCGATGAATGATTGCGATGCTGAGGTCAAACACATGGGGTACGACTAGGCAGGGTGCATGCCTGGTTGCAACATTTTCCCCAAAAAAAAAAAATACATTTCGTTCCTACTCCGTTACTTTCTTGGAAGTCGCTCATCACTCCCCACTTCGCAAGAGGGAAGGTTTGCAACAATGAAAGGATGAAAAAGGAACAACATTTGCGTGATACGCTAGCCAGGGGGCTTACGAGTCATCCATCCCACCGTCTCCCGTCCCATACCTTACCGCACTTCATCAAGATAAAGAAAAAAAAGCACAGACATAGACACCAGCACAGCATCACCTCATTAATATGGTATTCGAACGGCCACCTCTTGCAATTCAAGGATCATCTAAGCTGCACACTTGCGACTGGCAGTTCCATGGCACCTGACTTGATGTTGCCCGGACCGTGGACAGTGCGTTGTGGATTGTGCAGGGCCCAATGGATCCGAACTCCAACCAGGGTCCAGGCCTGGCCTTATCTCTCTACCTCCTTAGAGGCTGGTCTGCAGGCTGCCTCGACGAATACCGCTGCATGCTGACCGCCAGTCTAGGTATGTATGTATGTATATGGAGTACCTACCGGTTTTCGGCAAAAAGACCTGGAAATTGGCGTTCGTATTGTATTCTGCCATCCAGGAATGAGGGGAAACACCCTAGATAATAGCAGGTCGTCGCGGAGTATTCATAGGTACTCGTAAAGATAACATCTCCATAACTGGGAGTTGGAGAAGGTGGAGAGACGCGGGGAACGAGATATCATCGGCTGATTGGGCCACCAATTTCCGTACTGAGCTGCATACATACCCAGCCCCCCGGGCTGAGTTGGGCCACCACCGCATCAAGGTTTAGAGCGGGTAATAGCGGTAACCACAATTAATCCACCGACTTGGGTCCCACCGGATAGGCACCTCGACATTGTCCCGAGTATCGACTACCAAGCAACAGCTGCCACTGGAGCTTCGGGACGAGAATCTTCATCTGCAATGTTCCGGGGCAAACGTGGAACAGACTAATCTAGTAGGTCTCACTGGCTTGCTCCAGCCCCAGTCGCCCTCTCCATCTCCACGAGTTCCATATCGAATGTGCCACAATCATGGTCATGCGTACGCCATCGGCCTCGAACCTACTACAAGTAGAGCCGCAGGCAAGGGTGGTGCTTTACGTTGCAGTACCTTGTGATCGGCCGGTGTGACTATGGTGGCTTGGCTGCCTTGGCTGTCTTGGCTTTGACGCTCATAGGCGCACATACAGAGAGACGAAAGCATCCCGCTCACCGCAGCTTTAAAAGCTTCCATTATAAGGGTGCCCAATATACGGGCACCTAACCAGGCCTGACTCAGCTTTGTCCAGGCCTAACTCAGCTATAAGGCTATATAACTAAGGTTCAGTAAATCTTTAATAAAACCTAGCCCGAAAAAAAAACTAGTTTTTATAATAGCTATATAAAAATATTAAACTTAAATTTATTTAATATATTGGACCTATGTTTTATATATTTTTAATTATAGTATTTAACTATATTTTTTTATAATTTTTAAACTTTTGTAAACTAATATAATCCCCTCGGCGGAGGTATCCGCCAGGGTACCAATATATATAATATATTATATAACGGGAAAACTAGATATATTATACTATATTCTTAATTATTAATAGCTAACTAAACTCTAATTATTACCCCCCTTTATTAATAACTTCCGCCTAACCTTCCGCCGCCCCTATGCCTAAACGGCCAATTTTACTTATTTTAATATATATAAAACCTCTTAATATTAGCCTATATAAATAGCTAGATTTAATATAATAACTTTTTTTTATATAGGTTAATAAACTTTTTAATAATATTTTTTAATTTATAATAAGGTACTTTTTTATATTAAAAGCTTTTTTAATTATAATTTTAAGCCTAGTATTAATTTACTAGATTTTTTAATCTATATCGGCCTAATTATAATAAATTAGAATATATAGCCTAAGATTATAAATAGCCTAAAAGGCTTTAAAAGAAAGCTAAAACTATTAGTATAGCTATTCGAGGTACCCTTAAAATAAATACTAAAGTACCTTATAAATAACTCTTATAAACCGGATATTTCGACGATGCCTACCTTATTTATTAAAATAATAAAGAATTAACTAACTAATACCTAAAAAAACCTAAAATACTTACTATAATAAGAATCCAAAATATTAAAAAAAATTAAAAATTTAGCTATAATATAATAAGCCCTTAATATTAAACTCCTTTATAAAATCAATAAATACTTAAAAGATACTATTAAAAACGGTAATATCGTTTTATTATTATTAAATATTTAACTATTTATAAGGAATAATAAAATAAACTTTAAATAACTTAATAAAATTATAATAATATTTAAAAAAACAAAATCGTCCTATAATTCGGACTAACTTTATAATATTATATAATAATATATTTAAATAGAAGTTATTAATAAAAATACCTTTAGGAAAAATAATTTTAATTTTAAAAAAACCAAATTTATAAAACGACCTGAGTAGAAAAAAATCTATTTACTATAAAATAATTAATTTATCCTCTTTAAAAGAACGAATAACTATATTAAAAGTATAAAGATATTATTAATAATTTAGGATAACCCTAAATTAACTTTAACTTATATATAATATGACGATATTTTTTTAAGTAAAATACTTAATTAATAACTATTATTACTATTTTAATTAGAAAAACGATAATTAATATTACCTATAACGGTTTATTAATAAACTAATTCTTAAAACCTATTAAAAAATAGACCTACCCTCTTAAATTACGGATATAAAAAATAATAATATTATTATCTTTTCCCTAAACCTATCTTACTTTATAAAGTACCTTAATAATATTAAAAAAGATTAGAATATATATTAATATAATAGATATAAAATCTATTTTATACCTAAGTTGTAAAAATAGTAACTTTTATAAAAAAGAATTTAGGAAGAATAATTAAGAACTAGCTCGTTCTAAAGAAACCTAGATAACCTTATTATTAATTTATAGGACTACTTATATAACTAATATATTTTAAATACCTAAATTAATATTAAGGTATTTAAGGATTATTAATTGTTTTTTTAAAAAAAGAAACCTTATTTAAATAAAAAAACGATTTTAAAATATTATTAATGCCCTATACTTTATTATAAAAAGATAAAGATAAAAGGACTTAAAAAAAACTATAAATAACTTATTTAAAAAGGACGAGCGCCGGCTCTTAAATAATTAAAAAATTAAAAATGCTAATTAGATAAGAATAATAAAAAAATAAAATAAAAAATTAAGTCCCTTATAATAGTTAATATAAAAAATTCCGACTATTATATACTAAATATTTATATTTAAGGATATAAAATATATATTATAATTGATAGCGGTGCCTAAATAAATTATATATTAATCTAAATAATAAAAAGATTCAGGATTAAATAAAAAATAAAGAAATTACTATACCTTCTTTATATATTTAAAAATATATTAATTTAGAATAATAACGGATATATATTTTAAGAAACTATACCCCTGTAAACGAATATTAATAACTAAATAGAATAGATTATTTATAACGTTATAGAAATAAGAATAAACCAAGATATAATTTTAAAAATTATATAATTAAAAAAATATAATTTATAAATAGATTAGAATATAGGCTACCTTTAATAAATAAACCTAGTTATTAAACGATTTAAAAAAATAAATTTAAATAAGTTTTATATAATACCTAATAAATAAAAACGACCTAAATACCTTACCTAAATTAAAAAAATAAAGCTAACTAGGATAATTATACCTAGTACGAATAATTAAGGATTAAATTTATTTTAAACTATACTTAAAGAATACCGGAAATATATAAAACTATTTATTTTAAAAAGAAAATCTATAAGATTTTTAAAATATAGTAACTAGGATATAGAAATCGAACTTAAAGAAGGGATATAGCCTAAATTTTATCTATTATATTTAATAAACGAACTAAAACAAAAAGAACTTAATAAATATATTAATAAAAAACTAAGAAAAAAAGGCTATATTAAACCTTTTTTATTTCCTACTAGTATATTATTTTTTTTATTTTTAAAGGGAAAAAGGAAAATTAAGACTTATAATTAATTATAAAGGACTTAATTTGATTATTAAAAGAAACTACTACCCTTTATTTTTTATTATTAAATTTAGAGATTTATTATATAGAGTTTAATCGTTTATTAAAATAGATCTTAAAGAAGCTTTTAATTAAGTATAAATTAAAAAAATTAATAAATAAAAAATAGCGTTTTAAATATATAAAGGACTTTTTAAAAACTTAGTTATACCTTTTAAACTTATTAATATATCTGGTATATTTTGAATAATAATAAACTACGTCCTTAAAAAATATATAAATATCTTTGTTATTATTTATATTAATAACATATTTATTTTCTTTTTAAACCTTAAAATATATAAAAAATACGTTTATAAAATATTTTAAAGACTTTAGGATATTAAGCTCTATACCTAACCTAAGAAATATAAATTCTATATCTAAAAGGTTAAATTTTTTAACACGATATTATATTAGAATAAATATATATATAATTATTAAAAATAAAAAGAGTTAAGGACTAGCCTATACTCTGAAACGTTAAGGATATATAAAGCTTTCTAAGATTCATTAATTTCTATTAACGATTCCTTAAAAATTATACTAATATAATTAAACCCTTTAATAACCTAACTAGAAAAAATATACTATTTATTTAAAATTTAGATTATAAAAAGTATTTATTAAAATTAAAAATATAGTTATTTCCGAACTAATAATTATAATCCCTAATTTAAAACGACCTTTTAAAGTCGAGACCGACGCTTTAGACTTCGCTATAAGAATAGTTTTAAATTAATAAAATAAATAAAGAAAACTTTACCTTTATATATTCTACTTCAAGGTATTTTATGAATTAAAATTAAATTAATAAATCCATAATAAAGAACTAATAATTACAATCGAAACATTTTAAAAATAGAAACTATAGTTATTAAAAACTAAATATAAAATTACGGTTTATATAAATTATAAAAACCTTATTAACTTTATAATAAATAAGAATCTAAATAAACGGTAAGTTAAATAGACTAAATTCCTTTTAAAGTTTAATTTCTAGATTATTTACTAGAAAAGATTAGAGAATAATAAAGTAAATATTCTTAATAAAAGATTAAACTATAAAGTTACGGTCCCTAAAGAAATATAGATTATCTTTAAATTTAATAATAAAGGCGACCTTATGCCTACTACTAAACTCCTTATAATAACTAAAAAGATTAATATTAATACGATTAGAAAAATAACCCCTAAGCTTATTATAGAAATCTATAATATCAGGGCATACGGCTATTAAAATATTATAAAGATATAAAAATATATTAAACAATATTATAATAAATCTATAATATAAATAGAAGTTATTAATATAATTAAAGATTATAAAACCTATAGAAAAAATAAAAATAGCCTTTATAAGCCCTATAAAGAGCTATAATTATTATTAATACTAATAAAACTATAATAATTAATCTCCTAGGACTTTATTATTAAACTCCCTAAATCTAAAAAACCACTTATAAATATATACTATAATAATATCTTAATTAT